GTCAGAAATTGAGAAAATTATTTCATCTATAACATGAGAAATACTTGATGCGAATTAGTTCAAATTTTCGTTGTACATATTACTCATGTATATAATTATAGTAATGGAAATGAGAATTTTACAAATACACATAAAGTGAAGATATTGTTGAAAACGTTAAAAAAATAAAAATCAATATTTTAGTTGTGAAATATAGAGTGTCACTTTTTTGTCCCCTTTTTGCACTCAACATGTGATATATCACCTATATAACCTACTCACGTTGGTAAATTGTATACAATTTGAAGTTCAACTTTTGAAGTTATAGATGAAATCATTTTCTCAATTTCTGACAACAGATTCTATGATGTCATACTTTACCCATAATCCTTTGCTTGAAAATAAAGATGGCTGACTACGTAATACTGATGAAAAGTGGAATATCTAGAGAATGAAATGTGATACGAAACTGTAAATTGCATTCTCCTACATTTGTGGAGCTTTTTCTTTAGGGGTCATTATGTTGTTTGGATTGAGGTTCCCTTTAATGGAGTAATACAACAACGTATATTCTGAATAAAATGTCATATAATCGTGGCGTCACATCCCAGAAGTTAAAGCGGGAGGGTCGTCACTTGCGCACGCACGGGAATTGAGTCCCAAGCGATGATATCAACACACGCTGAAAAAGCAAGTCATGGGTAGACGCTTCTTTGTGAACATTGACACGCTATGACGCAGATGACGACTCCCTTGCTTTAATAGGAGCTCTATTTCGACTTCACGAGGAGGCCTTTGCGGAATATATTTATAGTAATAACGGTGTGGTGGAATGAATGATGACCAAGATGCCATACATACCCTGCTGGTACAGCCTATGGTACAACTTATGTTGCAGTTTGAATATTTCCAACAAGGAGGAAGTTTTTTTTGGAAACGTTGGAGCGCTGATTCGTAACTAGTCGTGAGTGAGCAGCAATAAAAGCGGCACATAGAAAGACACAAGGAAGCAACAGAAAGCAAAATTGATAGGGATGAACAAGATGAGGAAAAGTTGACATCAACCGCCTTGTATCGAAAATGAAAAGAATATTTAATATATGTGGAAAACGTAATTAATATATGAGAAAGTACAACTACGTCTACAACAGCCAAACTTCGACACGACCACCGAGCATCCGTAAAAAAGCATGCTTTATAACCAAGCTGACACTGAGACCGTGTGATTCAAAGCCATTCAATGCAAATAGAATACATACAGGATACTAGAAGGTGGTCAGAGCCCTCTTTACCCGGTATCAGTACAATTGGACTCTCTCCTATATGGCATTCCGTTTCCTATGAATGATTTCCCTATGTAATCATAATACTATACTATTCATTTAGTATCTATTAACACAACATTAAAATTGGTGAATAATATACGTTATGTATTATATTATATTGAACATTGTACACCAGTACACAATATATACCCTCTTTATGTTTATTATGAAATTATTATGCTGCTGGAAAATTCGCAATGAATATTCATATTTTGCCATTTCCTAATTGATTTTTTGTGGAATCTTAATTAATAACGTGTTGCATGAACTAAAAATGTAAGACGATCATAATGGCACATAATTCAATTGACGCTACTATAATGTGTTTTAGATAATACATCATGAATCATGTTCGATGCAATGCACTGCGCGAAACATGATCGAGATAACGAGAGTTTAAAAACTGTTTTTTTGTAGTTGATGAATGAGATAAAAAATATGTATTTTTTTACCATTTTATAAAAAATATCAATATGTAATCGAAAATATCTTCTAAAAATACTGATACCACAATTTAACTCTACACACTACCTATACATGTTCAGAACGACCCATTCTTGCAAAACATGTACTCGATGTTGTACGGTATTTCTTACTTTAGCTATTGTGAGAAATGGATGACTAGTTCTATTTTTAGCCTGCTTTTACATTGATATAATAGTACGTTTCAGTGTTAAGTACTCGCGTGTCAACATGCACTGACCCGTGGACCTGCCACCCTTGGTGACCTATAAATATAATGGGAAATGCATTGATATATATATAAGCGATTTAGTAAAGAGTGTTCAGTGAATGAACGTAGCCTGTAATAAACTTTAATTGTTAATTAGAATATATGTAGCGTTATTGTATCTAGAACCAACATAATTCCATACACTACATAAACTGATCTGGTCATATTGATATACGTTATTACGCCAATAGATGTTGCCATTTCTATATCTATATATGGGAGAGATGTTTGTTAGTATTCTTTTAAATTGAAAAAAAATGCCAGGTTTTCAAAATCATGGGAATAAATGAAAACACGCAACAAAAGACTCGAACTCATGACTACGGCATGATAGTACCTAGCTACATCACTGAGTCACAGTAACCGTTTCAGACTAATACGTCTCCAACTAGCGTGTACTAATTTAAAACATTGACTAGATATATATGCCCAAGATAAATCGATGACGGCACAGACAACGTATATTCCCGCACACATTACAATACGATGAAGGGCGCTGTGATTTACATATAACGTATAAGGTTTACTCTAAGACTCAGATATTATGTTTGTCTAATTAAATATTATATTTTTAATCATTATAAACACAGAAATGTAATATTAGTACTTTGATGTGGGCTGTAAATGTCGAACCGATTGCAAATATATAAGAAGCGTTGACATCTCGCATACACATGCGTTTTAATGTGTATCAACACGCACCCTTGTTGACTATAAATCATATACGCTTCTCATTTGTTCACATCTGTCGCTGTTGGTTTTTCAATTGTCAGCTTAATCACCGTCCATGTCAATGACAATAGTGATAATTGAAAAAAAATTGTCTGCATACGTCGTAACACATCATTTACAAAATAGTTGCTTCGTACTTAGTTCAATTTGATCAAGAACATTATATCTATTTCCGCTTAATGTCGGTTTGGATTAAGGGTTTGCCAAATCCGATGACGTCGTCTACGATGAAAAAAAAGTAGTATCACTTCTTCTGTATTGAATAACGACCGTGGGTGTATCTCACCCAGATTTGGTCTAGGGTTTATATTATATCACCCTTATGTATATATAGCATATGATGTGATGAATAACATTTTGAGCATTGGAATTGCCGAATGATATTTGAGATACAAGATCGTTGTTGAAATAATTACAATGTGTTAAAGGTACTTATGTTTATATAATGTGAAACACTTAGCTTAGAAGTTAACATGTAACTCAGTTACCTTGGCTGAACTTTAGTCGCCTAATCTATGGTCCCAATAAAATGTCCTCAAGTGGAAATTTATTAAGCCGACCGACACGTTTATAATTTGCATGAAAGTGTTTTTACTCACTCAGGTTGAACGATATCCTAAAACTCTGTATCTTCCGACTAATGGCACGTTATATTATAAGAAAACTGATAGATTATACATAAATATTTTACTCAAGTGATGTGAAAGGGTTATCAAATAAAGCTATTATTAGTTAAACACAACTGCGCAAGTATTGTTTCGAACAATGCCACCGACGTTATACAATATGCATTAGTAAACTATCTAGGAGAGACAAGACCGTATTAGATTTGTTCGCTTAAGGACATTGTTTACAGAGCCTTCTTATTTTCCATTCATTACAACCACTCAATCACATTCTACCATGACATATAATAGAAGTGACATATTGCCAATATGCAGTGTTAACATTGCGATTGTAATAGTATCTTTCTCAAATGCATGGCATTTGAATGCTCTTCGGAATACCTTTTTTTTCAACATAAACACATCGCATAGCATCTTATCACTGCTTACCCGAATTAATTCGTACTGAAATTAAGTGTACCATAATCTAGAATTGCCAATTAGCTACCAATTTCTGTCAAGTCAACTAAATAATAATGGTTACTTTCACATATTCCCTATCATTATACATCTGTCACCGTAACGCCATAATTACAACGTGCCGCAATTTTGCGGTGTTTTACGGGGTATTTTCATCATACTATATTAAGAATTGCGTATTCTAAATATGGAATGATTACGCGCGTTGGTGTCCTCTAATAATAAAAACAAACATGGCTGCCACCAGAGTTTGACCGGACGAAGAATTCGCCGATTCCGTTCTAAACATTTTGGATTTCGGCATTCCCACGGTGTATAATAATAAGGTCATTACGAGAATATCTCAAAGTATGCATTGCCCTCCGATGCGCGTCGATACTTTGTATACTTTGAGGTATTCTCGGAATACACTCATATTACAATACACTACAATAGGCCACATTGCTAGGGAACATTGTGATAGTAAACACTCATACAACCTTTATATATAATGTTCAAATGTTTCATAATAAAGACACGTTTGTGATTGCAAGTCGTAAGGTTCGATCAAATTATTAAAACATGTTTGGTCAAGCATTCCAGTGTATCAAGTGATTAGGTCAAATAATTCGATGTAAACTACTGTTATCCCCGTACTGAATTGCAATTACCTATTATACATTTATATATGCAAGTCTCGGGTGGATTTAGTGCAATTAAATACAGTCCCAATTCC